ATTGCACATTTTTAATCTGACAAGAAGATAGCTTAGAAGCCACACATTCTTAAAGACCTGACAGTCTTGGATGGCAAGATGTACACACAAAAGTTGGAGAGGTAATGTTTATTTCTAAATTCTGCCTCAGCTGTGTGCATTCTCTATTCCTAGGTTCTTCATGCCCTAGAGCAACCCACCCTGGTCACCTGAAGTCTTCTCTTGGGTATCCCATCTAAGTCTGTCCTTTCTAACCATGCATCAGTACTGTGAATCTAGGCAAGTGTGAACCATGCACCAGTACTGTGAATCACATCAGTACTGTGAACCAACTTTGTCCTATCAGAATTTACCGTAACAAGAACATAACTTCCTCAGTCATCTTTCATTTTGAAAAGTAATGCAATGAATGGATTTACACTAAAAATAAAAGAGCTGGCAGTAAGATCTTATCTCTACTGACTAAACACTCCTAGCCAGCATCTGTGTTTTATAAATAATGATTCCTAAGGGGGCATCTTAGTCCCTATTATAGTGAGGGAATTATGACAGAAGAGAGAGAGAAGACAGTTCTCCTAGGATACCCTATATTACAACATGTATTTGGGTTTTTATCTAACTACAATGGAAGATACAACTGCTACTTTTCCCAAAATTTGGGGATAAAGCTGCATTTTATTTTTTAAAGAAGTATTTTTAAATGTAACAACATATTAATGAAAAAGCTAGGGTCGTATAACAAATATCTTTCAATAATAATTATAAATAATATGATAAGGGCTATAACCCTAAAAAGCTAAGCAACCCATAGCTTCTAAAGCGTCAAAATAGCTGTGGTACTGGCAGTAATAGAATTATTAAGCTGTTTATTTATGTAAGCTTGAATTTACAATGGTATATGTTTATTTATGTGTTTATACATGGCTACATTTATTTATCAATATCAATAAGAAAAATCTTTCAAAACTTTCTCTTTTTACTCTAAAAAACTAAAAAGACTTATTCTGATGAAAAGCAATCCTATGTTCCATACTAAAGTACCAAGTACCTACTTACCTGGTCCTTAAGTGTTAACTATGACAGAAAAATAACAATTACTTTAATTTCTAGGGGCAAAACAATTACATTTCTATTAGTGGCCTCTTAAGATTTTTTCATAATGCATGCAAGACTGATCAGTTACAAAGGGTAATGTAAGACATGGTAGATATTTTCCTGACTAGAGTAAAAAGATAAAATATCTACTATTTGTCCCATAGTAAAGCATTTATATTTTAATTTCCATTAATTAAAAAGAGAAGAAATATTTGAGTACTCATTCATAATGAAATCTATCATAGACTAAAAAGGGTTCTCTTATTATGGGAGAAATACCACCACAATTAAAAATTATGATTCAAAATGTTATTAATTCACAGTTCAAAATTAAATGGAGACCCAAAATAGCCAACACAATATTGAAAAAGAAAAACAGTCAGAAGACAGACACTATCTGACTTCAAGACTTACAAACAGGTTAATGAAATAGAACAGATATCCCAGAAATAGCCCCACATAAATACAGTAAACATATATTTGGCTAAGGAAGAATAAGTGAATATAGTCTTTCAAGAAATGATATTGGAACAACTGGACATCAACATGCAAAAAAATGAATCTAGATGCAGACCTCATATGTTTTACAAAATTAACTCAAAATGGATCATAGATGTAAATGTAAACCACAAAATTATAAAAGTCCTAGAAGATAACATAAGAGAAAATCAAGGTGACCTTGGGGATGGCAATAACTCTTTATATACAACACCAAAGACATAAAGGAAATAATTGAGAAGCTGGACTTTATTAAAATTTAAAACTCTGCTGAAGGACACTAAGAGAAATAAGAGGAAAGAGAATGAGAAGACAAGTAACAGACTGGAAGAAAATATTTCCAAAAGATATATCTGATAAAGGACTGTTACCAAAATATATAAAGAACTTTTAAAGCCAACAAGAAGAAATTGGCAAAAGAGTTGAAAAGAGATTTAACCAAAGAAGATGGACAAATGGCAAATAAGCTTACGAAAAGATGCTTAACATCACTTGTCATTAGAAAAATACAATTTAAAACAAGATGCTATTACACACCTGGCCAACATCCAAAACACTGACAAAACCAAATACTGGCAAGGACGTGAAGATGTTAAACAACAGAAATTCTCTAATGGGCATGAAAAATGGTATAGCTACTTTGGAAGACAGTTTGGTAGTTTTTTTCCAAAGCTAAACATACATCTACCATATGATCCAGCAATTATACTCTTTATTATTTAGTTAAATGAGATAATAACTTATGTCCCTACAAAAACCTGCACATGGATTTTACAGCAACTTTATTTATAATTGCCAAACTTGGAAACAACGAATATGCCCTTTGGCAGGTGAATAAATAAATAAATTAGTACACCAGGATAATGACATATTACTCAGTACCAAAAAGAACTGAGTTATCAAGCCATGGAAAGATATGAGGGAACCTAAAATACCTATCACTAAGTGAAAAAAGCTAAACTGAAAAGGCTAAATACTATATGGTTCCAACTATAAGATATTCCAGAAAAAAGCAAAACTATGGAGAGAGTAAAAAGATCAGTAGTTAAAGGGGAGGAGGGACAAACAGGCTGAACATGGGGGATGTTTAGGTCAGTGAAACAAATTTGTATGACACTATAATGGCAGATACATGTATTAATTATACATTTGCCAAAATTCATGGAATGTACAAAACAAAGAGTTAACGTTAATGTAAAATGTGCACTGCTGAGTAACATCTACATATCAATGTAGGTTCATTGATTGAATCAAATTATCCCCCCCATACTAGATGTTTATAGCAGGGGACGTTGTGCCTGTGTGGGAGTAGAAGCATACAGGAACTCTCTCTACTTTCCATTCAATGTTACTGTGAACCTAAAACTTACTTAAAAAATAAACTGTAGTTTTAAAAAATTAGATGGAGAAAACATTTAAATATTTATTAACCTTTTTGATACTGCCTATACAAATAGAATTTACAGACTCCACAGCTACATTCCTTAGCTAAACAATATAGTTTATATATTTTGTAATATAAAAGTTGAAAATAAATGTGCATGTTGATACCATCTAGCTAATTACACTGAATTTATTATACTCCTGCAAAGTGTCAGGACATTCTTTTAGAATCTTTTTTGAAATGCTTTAAAAAGTTTCTCTAGATAGCATTTTGGGATCATCATATATTCACTACAAATAAAATCTCATGAGGCAATCCAGAACAGAGATGGCAAACTATAGCCAGCAAGCCAAATGCACCTGTTGCCTATTTTTGTAAAAAAAGTTTTATTGGAACACAGTTGTACCCACTTGTTAAAATATTGTCCATAGCTGCTTTCATGTTAAATAACAAAACTGAAGTAGCTGCAACAGAGAACATAAGAGCCATAAAGCCTTAAATATTTGCTATCTGACTCTTTACAGAAAAATTCTGCTAGTCTCTGACCTAGAACAAGTGGTTGTTATTTAGTAGGAATTTTTTTTTATTTAAAGAAAGAATATTGGTATTTTATATATTTTTATTCTTAAAATGATAAATAATTCAACTCACAAAAGTTTTTTATGAGGGTCAAAGTAGAACATTATATAAAATAAATGTGTGATACGTCACAACTGTTAGCAGAGACTCTATACCCATATGACCTAGATCTGAAAGTGCTTAGTAGAATGACCTGAACATGTGACTTTATTTTGCAAAGAACTGCATTTTCTTCACCTGGCAAGTGAAGATAATAGTACCTGCCTCATATGTTGCTGAGAGAATTAAATTAGTAAGTATAAGATAACCTTATCAGTTTCATACATTTATTAAGAACTAGAAAAGGTTAGCTACTATTATTATTGCTAATATACAACTTAAAATACTTGCAATTTCCTAAAAAGTTATTCTTAAAACCAAGCACAATCTCTAGAGATTAATTATGAACGTGATTTTAAAACTATTTCCTAAACACAGACAAAATGCCTCAAGAATGCTCAGTGTTTCAGTGTTCAAGGAGGCAGTGTTCTATGCTCTCAAGTCCAAACCATCTTTGATTTACTTTATATATTGGGGTTGCAAACAAGATTTAGTCTGGGGGAAAAAGGTTTCACTATTCTTTTTTTTTTTTTTTTTTTTTTTGAGACGGAGTTTCGCTCTTGTTACCCAGGCTGGAGTGCAATGGCGCGATCTCGGCTCACCGCAACCTCCGCCTCCTGGGTTCAGGCAATTCTCCTGCCTCAGCCTCCTGAGTAGCTGGGATTACAGGCACGCACCACCATGCCCAGCTAATTTTTTGTAGTTTTAGTAGAGACGGGGTTTCACCTTGTTGGCCAGGATGGTCTCGATCTCTTGACCTCGTGATCCACCCGCCTCGGCCTCCCAAAGTGCTGGGATTACAGGTGTGAGCCACCGCGCCCGGCCTGGTTTCACTATTCTTAAAGGGAATTTAAAAGCCAAAGGGCCAGTTAAATACTTTATATGTCATAAAAAGTTAACATTGTTTTAAGAAATGCCGTAATAAAGTTATTCAAAGAACCATGAACAATTGGGAAGTGAACAAATTTTATATAAGTGATTATTACCACTTCACTTTGACTTTGATAATCTTGATGGGAGTATACTGAACAATAGAAAATTTAAAAATTAAAGTGCTTCAAACACCATCAAATAATACAAAACTTTATAAATTGCATTTCAATTGACATTACTTCATGAAAATAGTAAGAATATAATATTTAAAATTAAAAATGGCAAACAAAATAGCACGACCTATCAATATTGGGATGATAATATCTACAAATAGTTTTATGACTTACCCATTGGGCTAAAGCAGTTATTAAGAATCAGAACCTCTGAGTCATTGCCTCAGACTTAAATAAAATTTTCTTCTGAAGAGTCTAAAAATTAGTAATTTTTATCATTAAGCACTCTCTAAAAGCAGAATAAAATAAATCAAGTGTACCTGGTGTCCAGCCTTTACTTGCTTCAAAACATTTTCATAACATACTTCATCCATGTTATTCAACTGCTGCATCTTAAAGGTTTTAAAACATAAAAACATCAGATGAAACAATTATAAACTTTGTAACTGCAAATAAAATGTTGACAATTACAATCTAATTTTTAAAACTTTCAGACTACCTAGAATGAGAGATAACAAATATCTTATAAACATATAAAATATAACAATTCATAAAAAACATATACAATGCCACTTAAAAATGAAAATACAATAACTCAGATAATAGTTTCTGCGTACTAACTTTCTAAATGCACCAAGTTTTAAAAATACAGTATCTTTAAGGATATTCTGGTTAGTTACAGACATTTCGGAATAATTTTTAAAGTTCTTTCTGCTTTTCCGAGCAGCTCATTCTCCAGGCTATTTTTCTTATATTTCATTATATAAACCATACAGTTTTACTGTATGATTCTCAATGTTGTAAGAACACTACAGATCAAGTGTCAAATGGCACAGAGAGCTGAAACATAAGGCAACACACTATTTCTGTAACGTATATTGAGAGAGGTTGCTATTCAGAATGCTTCTATAGAAACATTTTTCAGATTAATTGGAAATCTAATATAAAATCTACGAATTAAGTAAGGGTCTCTAAATATTCAAGGTGAGGGATAGCCCAATTAAACTGATTTGATATTCAGTCAAATAGATCTGACTAAAGATTTCTGGGTACATGTGATAAGTTAATACATTCATATAATTATCAATGTATTCGTATAATAATGAATGTATTATACCTAACTATGCCCAGAAAATATGTAAATCTATTATGTATCAATTTTAAAAAATGTAAAAGGGTCTCAAATCCCTTATTAATGATAAGAAAGTTTCTAACCAAAAAGGTAAGGTGGCTAACCCGAAGGAGTAGGCATGTGACCCAGCCTATTATCTCTCCAGTTAACATGTATTAGTAAGAGTTTAGAGTGGGATGAAAAGCATAATGTACATCTAAAATGGCAATGATTTGGATTTTTTTGCTTCATTAAGGTAAATATTTTAAAATCCTGGAACTCTTATGACTTATAGTGGCAAAGTATGATGAGATGATAATAGGATAATTTACTCCCCACGAATAATTTAAAAACAACCCCCCCCATCCCCACCAAAGACAAAACTCCCAATAACTTTTTCAGCATACTTTGGATTCATTTCTGGCCAAAGCCATTATTCCAAATTAAACATAACACTCACAACATTCTCCCATCCTCTTTCGTAACAAGTGAATCACATCATGAGTTTCTGAATGAAATTCTGAGAAACCTATAAGAATTTCTTTTTATAATGACCAAATTAACAACTTGATTATAAAACATATTAAAAAACACCCCTGGAGAAATGCTTAATGGTTATCAACCACAAATTTCAAATGAGTGTAAATTAGTAAACTTTAGTAAGACAAAAGTCTATACTTATAACAATCATATATACTTTATTATTTACACTATGTAAGATATACACAATTTTTGTAAAACAATTGTCAAATTTCTAAACCTTCAAAACAATTAGGACAGTTTATTATCTAACACCATTCCTTTCATGATTATAATGGTAACATACTGTAGTGAAATATACTTTGAATTTGATTAGCGTTAGGTGATTTACCAATTTGTATGATGCAACTGAAAGAAAATAAGGTTTAAGATGGCTGAAAAGCATGTGAAACAATTTTCTTCTCTTTATAGCTCTGTGTGATAACCATCTGCCACCATTTAAATTATAAAGCTGAAAACATTCTAAAGCTACAAAAGAACCAGTTCTACATCTATCCTACTGATACATTAAAAATAACTAAATAATCAAATTATATTGAAACATAACTGAAAAAAAAGCAAATATTGCTGAAAAGCAGCAGTTGAAACAATTATGAAGGCTAAAATATGCATAATTGTAACTATTACCATATCATAAACTATCCCTTTGTGCACAAGTCTGAAATGACTCTCTGGAATTCTAAACATACCTTACTTTCATGCAATGCAGTTACAGGATATTAACTGTTGTATTATAGTAACAGTCACTTTGGATTTTTAGGTGAATATTTACTTATAATAGTATAAGGTAAAAATGGCTCTATTTTACTAATGATATTGTTTTTAGACAAGAAATGATTGTAATACATTAAATACCAGGCTGACCTAGTAACATATTATTCTATTTTGTTCTCTTTTAGTAAAGATGTCAAAAGCCCTGTGAATATTTTCCTAAAACTATTTCTTCTATAGAAAAAATAGGTGTTGTTGAACAGAATGATAAATGTTTAAATTTTAAGCAGTTTTCATTCTTATTACAAAATAAATATGTAATAAAGTTTTCCTTCATATTATAAGTCTATAACAGTGTGAATGGTATATGGTAGTATTCATTTTACAATTAGATAAACTTTTTAAAGCATAGAATTTTAGAAATGCCATTTATATAGATAATTAAGGTAATTATAGAACATTATAAGTTAAACAGAACACCTTCCTTAATGGTTGCCACTATGAATTTTTTTTTTCAATTGCGTCTGAGGTATTATTATTTCTATTAAACAAATATCACAAAATTTATACTGCTTGTTTAATTAGAGCTTTTATTATTTTACAATGCCCTTCAATCATTTCATATCAAAATAACTTTTTAAAACTTTTAACAGCTGAAAATACAAAACATACACTGAAAACAGGAATGCAAACTACGGCAAGCTACTTTCTGTAGGAAGTCTCACTCTACTACAAATAGTTAGGAAGTATGCTTGATTTTGTCTAGGATATCCCATCTGTAATGTGACTCAGTGGTCTCCAAAAGGCCATTTCAGTGGAGATCATGAAGGACTGAAATGGTCTTTTAGAGTCTCTAATGCCAAATAAGTATTCAATAATAATCCAACAAAAATATTTTTAGATAAGAAAAGTATAATTATTAAAATGGGTATTTACCTTATTTGCACATTTAATCCCCAAAAATGTCTGTCCAAGAGGTACTGGTCGAAAACGGCCATCAAAGAAGAAAAGTCCAATGTATGGATTAACATGTAAAAATGTGGCAACATCAAGGTAGTTAGGTAAAGTTGCAGACAGTCCAAGAATCCTTATCATACTCTGTGTGGATTCAACCTATATGAATTATTTTAATTAAATATGGGTTATTTAAATGAATTTAACCAAAAGACATTATCATTTGTTCTATTAATAGAACTTCTAAAAACTCTAAACAGAGATGAGTGTAGGGTCAATTGAGGGTCATATCATGTAAGACTTTGTAGCCCATAATTCACAAGCTTGATTTAACAGATACATAATAAAATTCCATACCCACTATAATCAAAAATATACATAGAGGGTGAGTGTGTTGGCTCATGCCTGTAATCCCAGCACTTTGGGAGGGAAGGTGGGTGGCTTGCTTGAGCCCAGGAGTTTGAGACAAGCCTAGGCAACATGGCCAAACTCCATATCTACCAAAAAAAAAAAAAAAAAATTAACTGGTGTGGTGGCACATGTTTGTAGTCTCAGCTACTCAGGAGGCTGAGGTGGGAGGATCTCTTGAGCCCATATGATCATGTCACTACACTCCAGCATGGGTGACAGAGCAAGACTCTGTTTCAAAAATAAGCAAGTGAATAAAAATAAAAATACAAATGGAAATTAAGAACTTTATGACAATTAAATATATTTTTAGGTCACAAAAAAACTCAGTAAACTCCAAAAACTAAAAATCATATAACCACATTATCTGATTATGAGGTAACATACCTAAAAAGATAAAACCAAGGGATGGCCAAAAACTTCTATTCATTTGGTAATGAAAATATATCAGTATGATTTTTCTGAGTAAGCTGTTAATAATTTTACTGAGTCTGGGAGACTCAAAGGGTATAAGCAAATTAGTCCAATGTGAATAATATTAATACTTTCAGAGTCATCCCTCCATCAACACTGTGTGAGAACCTAATCTGTAGGCACTAGGAATGCAGTACTGAATAAGGCAAAGATCCACACATGCAGAGACTATTTGCAGAAACGCAGTAAGGGAGGGATCAAAAAAGTAGAGATAGGTAAAAATTAAAGTACCAAAACAAATTGAATGTCTTATTATAAATTTGTTTTCACTGAAGAAATCTTACAGATATCGGCAAAACCCCAAACCAAATCCTATCAAAAGCAAGAAACCCTAAATAAGGGGAAATAATCACCAGACTCATTTTTTTTTTTAAATCATACAGTAATTAGAATGATTAATGACTCCACAGTCCTATGTAGTATTAGTGGTGATTTGGAAGGAAATGAAAGTGATATTTGGTTTTAAAATTGTTATTTAAAACACGAATCCATTTTAAAACAACCACCTTTTTCAAATCTAAAAGTATAATTATAATATAGTTATTTAATATAGTTAAATCTATGTGAGAAATACTTTATTTGAAATAGAAATAATCTGGAATATTATCTCTTAAGCCAAACCTTGAAGTCTGTACACTATACCTATTTACCTTAAAAGTATTAATTATTGACAATTACAAAAAATTAAAAATTTACAGCTTTCTCTCTATCATTAGCCCAAGATTAGACAGTACATTTCTGTGATGTTTTCCTTCACATAAAATTTAGTTCCAATAGTCTCCCTACTTACTAAAAGTAGTTTAATATAATTAATATTGGTTCATGTTGTTAAATATAATAGATTTGAGATTTCTTATACTTTTTTCCAAATTTCTCCCAATCATGCCAACTGTGTTATGAATTCAATCCCTAATATCACCATGCAATTTCTGAACCTGAACAAAATCAACATTGCCTTCCAAAAGCTTCTGATGGCGCTTCTACACTAGTTACAAATGTTGAAGTGTGATGTGATGTGCCATCTACTGGGAACATTTGGCAATTACAAGGAACAAATAAAAATAGGAACTTTGTAATAAAAATAGTTACGAGCATTGCACTAGTACTTTGAAAATATGCAAAGGTTCACACAGACACATCTGTCAAGGAGACTGAATTCTAGTGAGGCACTTAGATGAAGACAGAATTAACTATAGTAAGTTGTGAAATTAAAAGGAAGACCAGTATAAGTGTGAAAAATATATATATATATAAAAGGAGTGAAAAGAAAACAGAAAAAAGGTGTAATTCATTCTGATTCATGAACTAGGAAACACAACATAGAAGTGGTATTTGATGGGTTCAAAAATTTTCAATAGGAGGGGAGTTACAAAAAAAAAGAAGGCCTTATGTAATTTGGCATTTACAAACCTTATCTCACAACTAACAACACTTTCTGCCTCAAGTAAGATTAGTTTCATTATTGAAAGCGTATCAATGGTATTTAAAAGGAAGTAGGGAAAAGATCAAATAGTTTTGTGTGGCTGGAACCTTTCGTAGCGATGAATATGTAGACGTTAAAATTAGGCTTTAATATTAATAGTTATTAATGTCCAGCTAAACAATTTGACCATTTTTCTTAAGATAACAAACAGCAAGTCAGCAAAGGTTTATGAGGAAAGTGGTGCAAAACCATATACTTAGAATTTGATTACAATATACAGATGACAATGTGAAGATGAAATTATTACACATCTATATTATATATGATATACATGTATATCATATTGATAGGCTATGCATTTATATAATATATTGCATATGGTACATAATAAACCTATGATATGTAGTTTTATATAGTTTATGACATTTATAAATTCTATACAGAAATTATACTATTTACTATTCATTTATATTTTAAATAAAAATTATACCTTTATAAACAATTTACAAAATTATTTGTAAACTTTCTAAGGTTATAATGCCTGCTTAAAAATATCATAATGTATAATTAATGTTATATCTATGTGTCTGTGTACATACATATGGAAAGGATTAGCAACAAGACTGCAATCTGTTTTCTTTTTCTACTGGGGATGGTCAGGAAAGAAATATGTACTATGTAATACAGTAAAATCTCTTGTAAACATATGAATGACAGACCTCCTGAAAAATACACTAATGATATTTACTGGATCTCTAATGTTCTATCGTTGCAGAAATTCCTTATCTGAAGAATGGTCTTTGCTGGATGGACATGGTCTCTGTGGGTGGCTCCTTGAAAATAAATGTGATGTATGGATTGTTATAGTATGGTTCCTTGAAAAACATCACAAAGTTAAGTATCAGGGCATAAAATCAAAACATTTCATAATCAAAATAGCTCTTCTTTTTGTACATAATGCCCCTGCATACTTCTCTTATGAGACCTCATGTATAACATGTGGGCCAGAGCACATGGTTTGTAGGAAAAATGGACCTGGAGAATAGAGATGGTAGTTTCAGACTTCACCATACTTCATCTGTGTCTGACAACTACCTGCATTTTTCAAAATGCTCTTAAACTGAATATTAGCTAAAAGCTGTTTTTTGTGAAACAGGTTCAAAAATTTCAACCCTTGTGTTTTCTGTACGTGTGTGTATATATACACATATTTTTAATTTATGTGGTAAAAAGCGAACAAGCCCCAAATACTTTTATAATCCCAATTCTACTGAAGAGAGCACTTTTTGGTTTAATTAAGTCCCACTTGTCAATTTTTGTTTTTATTACAATTGCTTCCTCCTACTTTTTACTTAATTAGGTCCCACCTGTCAATTTTTGGTTTTGTTGCAGTCACTTCTGGGGATTTAGCCAAAAATTCCTTGCCAAGGCCAATGTCAAGAATGGTGTTTCCTAGGTTTTCTTGGAGGATTTTTATAGATTGAGGTCTTACATTTAAATCTTTAATCCATCTTGAGTTAATTTTTGTATATAGTGAAAGGTAAAGGTCCATTTATATTCTTCTGCATATGGCTAAACCAGTTATCTCAGAACTATTTATTGAGTAGGGAGTCCTTTCCTCATTGCTTGTTTTTGTCTGCTTTGTTGAAGATCAGGTGGTGGTAGGTACGTGGCTTTATTTCTGAGTTTTCTATTCTGTTCCATTGGTCTATGTATCCATTTTTATACTAGTACCATGCTGTTTTGGTTATTGTACCTTTATAGTATAGTTTGAAGGTGGGTAGTGTGATGTCTTTTGTATTGTTCTTTTTGCTTAGAATTGCTCCAGCTACTTGGGCTCTTTTGAGGTTCCATATTAAATTTAGAATTGCTTTTTCTAATTCTCTGAAGAATGACATCCAAACTTCAGCATCATGCAATATACCCATGTAACAAATTTGCACATGTACCCCTGTATCTAAAATAAAAGTTGAAAGTGAAAAAGAAAGAAACCACTCTTCAGCTTGTTGCATATCTTTTCATGTATATGAACTGAATTCTATACCAGCCTAAAATCTAAGTGTAAGTAAGAACTTAATTTTGCTCATGACTATATCCATAGCTCTTAGAACTATGTGTCTGGTACATGTGTAGGTGCTTAATAAATGTTCATTAACTGAATGAATGAATAAAAATATAAATATACTGCACATTTCTTTTACACAAATGGGATTGTGCTATACATACAGGACAGTTTGTTTTTTCAGTGAATAACAAGATCTTTTAAGCCCAGTTCACATAAAAAAATGTGGAATGTATGGATTGTTACAGTATGGCTCCATGAATATATATAACAGCACATACCTCATTCTCTCTGTTTTTAAAGGCTGAAGAGCAGCATTTCATTGCATAAATATACTATAATTCATTAAACAAGTTCTTCTATTGTTGAATATTCAAGGTATTTCCAAAATACTTTGTATTTAAAAAAGAGCTTCAATGAATACTGGTATTACTGTATCTTTATAAATTTGTGCTATTATTTCCACAGTTAGATATACAGAAGTGAAAACACAGGGTTGATTTTGGTGGATGCTTTCAAATTCCATTCCAGTTTTATTTTTGTCAATGCGATAGAAGAGAAATGTCTCATACTGATTCAGATTCTTTTTAAGTATCTTTTAAATAATTCTCAGTAATATTTTTCTACTATAAAATGCTCCTTCCAGTTAAGATTATTTTTCTTAATTTATAAAAACCTATTAAATATAAATGATATTCAGTTGTTTCATGTGTTGCAAATAATTTGTTATTTGGTCTCACATTTAAAATTTTAGGGGCATATCTTACTGATTAGAATTGTAAAGTATTTATTCATCCAAATGTGACACAGGTTTCCTTTATAAGGTTTTGAGCTTTGCGTATTGTATAGATCTCCACCCACAAGATTAAAAAAAAAAAAAAAAAAAAACTCTCCTATGTTTTCTTCATTGAACTGAGAGCTTTGTTTCATACAATTAAATCATTAATACATCTATAATTTTATGGTGAATTTACAAAATGGAAAACAAACACTTCAGAACTTTTAAAAAATATATAACTTATTGTATCTATTTCTTTATATTACATTTCCACACTTGAATCTGAATCAGAGGTATTTAGAATGAAATACAAAGAACTGATATCTAATTAGATGTTAGGATGGAAGAAAGTATTAAGGAAGAGGGAAAACCTGACTATGACTCCCAGGGTTTTGGCTTCGGAATCAAGTAGATTGTGATGCCATATCTAGGTATATAGGAAAGATGACAAGACTTCTGACATGTTTATGGGCAAAAGATGTCTATGGGATATCAAAGTAGAAATATACAACTGGGTTTGCATATGGCCAGAGTCAGCAGGGAGTTATATATATGTATTATATATATAAGATATATATACACACATACACATCATATACATATATATATATATTATATATACATAATTTAGGTAAGATGGGCATAGAAATATATTTCCCCAAAGTAAATATTTAGAATAAAGAAAGAAGATGGCAAGTGACAGAGTCTTAGAGAACATAAACAATAAACATTTCCAGATTGAGCATAAGGGAGAAGCAAGGAAGGCTGAGAAAGAGTAGCTACATAGATTTAAAAGAAAAGGCAAGTGAAAGTAAACAGGACAGGGTGGCATCACAGACTCAAAGGGCAAAGAGTTTCAAGACTGAGAAAATAATAAGCATCAAAAATTAGTAGAATCAAAAGTTTAAAACAAATAGGTTTGAGAACTATTTTTTGGTAACTGGTGATCTTGGTAAAAACATTTTATTACCTATGTTTGAGCAATGACCAGACTGCAGTGGTTTAGTTCAAAAGGGAAACTGAATCGAGATTAACATTTCCAGACACTAAGTGGTAAAGAAGAGCTTCAGTAAGCTGAAGTTACTGGAGAGGGATAGGTTTAAGGAAGTTTTTTGGTAAAGACAAGAGGGACTTTGCAATCCTTTTAAGCTGAAGAGACGGTGCCCACTGAGAGGGAACTTAAAGACACACGAGAAAGACAAGGGGTAACTTACAGAGTGAAAGAAATAGGGTCCAAGGCAAGGGGAGAAAGGACTTCTGAGAAACAAATAAGGTGTAGAATGAAGGGTACATTTTTGGTGGGAGGGGCTGGGCATTTTCCTGGGTAGGGAGTGGAGGCAAAAGGAATGGAAATTAAGGGAGTTCAAGCACAACGGACTCTATTTCCCTTTCAGTACAAAATACTATTGTATAAGAATGCACACGACAGGGTGATGAAGAATGGAAAAGGAAACTGGTGAAGCTTGAAAAGGATCACATTAAGGACACAGAAGAAAAGCTGCTTAGAAGTTATAGAGTAATTCCAAGGATCCATGTGAATGTAGTCGAGGAATGTCTACTTTATATCACAGTCTAGGAAGGTATATTGATGCTAGTCAGCATCACTAGCAACCTTTCCCATTAGTAATCGATAATTTGGCTGGAGGTACAGACGTGACTCAATTGATTAACTGTTGTAATTTTGTCAGATGTTCAAGAGATAATTAAGTTAAGGTTATTAATAAGAAAGCAATTAGTTATGGAATCTTAGTTATTTCAGAAGAAAATAAAGGTAGGCAAATATAAATAAAAGACAATATGTGAGGAGTCAAGAAACTAGAGTTCTTGGTTATATCTAAAAATAAGTGTTCATCTGTTTTCTATATATGCACAATCTACCAGAAAACATCAGTTAAAAACTCATGAATATTCTAAGATATTCTGTCTTTTCATTTAATGAGAAGAATGGTTGACAGAAAATATCTCAAGACTCCTGGCATTAAGAATTTATTTGGACTACTTATGAATAGCCAATGAGGTCTAAAACGAGAGACAATAAGTACATTCCCCCTTTTAAAAATATGAAGATTGGCCGGGCGCGGTGGCTCACGCCTATAATCCCAGCACTTTGGGAGGCCGAGGCGGGTGGATCACGAGGTCAAGAGATCGAGACCATCCTGGTCAACATGGTGAAACCCCGCCTCTACTAAAAATACAAAAAATTAGCTGGGCATGGTGGCGCATGCCTGTAATCCCAGCTACTCAGGAGGCTGAGGCAGGAGAATTGCCTGAACCCAGGAGGCGGAGGTTGTGGTGAGCCGAGATCGCGCCATTGCACTCCAGCCTGGGTAACAAGAGTGAAACTCCGTCTCAAAAAAAAAAGAAGATTATGTCAGTATTAGATTTAGCTTTGTAACACAGGTCTACAGTGAAAGTTTTCTTACATTTGTTCTGGTTAATTGAAGAGACAAATAAAATACAATTTGGAAGAAAAAAAGTAGGGAACTTTTATTATGAAAATGAAATAGCTAAAGGATTCTCCATACTAGAATTATGTTTATTCTCATGAACAATGCACATTAATATTTCCTTTGAATGCTACATTTTAAGTTGAAAACCCTATATATCCATTCAAAATGAGCTTATAAATAACTTCCTCTTACCTGGCGTAAAGTACGGGCAACTATGCTTTCTAATACTGGTCCTCTATCTTCATGCAGCAAATGAACTTCATCAAGAATCAGGAGCTTTACAATCTGGGAAAGAGCTACATCCCCAACACTCTTTCTTGTTACTACATCCCATTTTTCCGGTGTAGTCACAAGCATCTATAAGATAAGACAAAATTTAAAAGGAGAAAAGTTACATAGGTTATTTAAAATGGAACTGTGATAGTCAGAAAGAAATATTTTGGCCACCTCTACATAAATCAAATGAAAAGTGTTTAGAATAGCCAGGAATGATATCTAATTTACTATAGACAATAGTCATTTCAAGAAGAACTTTGTTTAAGCTGTGACACTAAGCAGTTAAAGGCCACTGAAGAATCTGTCAGTGAATTATAGGGTGAAGTGCACAAATACACAAGTTTTTTTAAAAAGTATCTTACAATATAAAAAAAAGTAAGAACATTATTTCTTAAAGTATCATATACTGATAATGATTTTTATTTGAAAAGGAACTAAAAATGATGAAAGCATTACAAGAAAATGAAAGAAAGATCAACAACTTACTCTAGTGATAACCTACTTTGAATAATGACAGATTAAAAATAACCTGAGATATAATATCATAAATATACCCAGAATTACTTACTAATAATGCTTTTCATTGAAAGTCCTTGAAAAACATGACCAGATGTTGAAAACCAAAAAGACACAATAAACTTTAAGTTAATGGCAAATTAAAATATAAAATACCAATGGCTTGTTATTAGTAAATATTGAGAGGTACAAAGTAGATCATTCAATTACAATAATAACTACAAACGTGGTTATCTACCTCACCAACAGCTTAGAATAGTATGCCAGCCCTTTCTTATTAATTTTCAGAGAAATAATGCATTAACAATTAAATTATAAAATCAACATATTCAGATATCAGAAAGCATCCTTAATTTGAAAATCCAAAATCCAAATGATGCAAGGAGTATTTTCTTGGAGCATTATGTTAGCACTCAGAAAGTTCTGGATTTTGGAGCATTTTGAATTTTAGCTTTTCAAATTAGAGATGCCTAACCTGTACCACCAAATCTTAAAAATACTTTCTAGTACTTTGTTTTCCATACTTTAATTTCAGCACAGTAAGAAGTGGCTTCATTTATTACTATTTTACCACTTCAGTTCCCTGAACTAAAATGGCTAGAAAATAAAGTGTCACATTTGCTTAATGAATTGGAACTCATGCAAGACATTTCCATCTGCTCTTGCATTAGGGCCTGGGTTAACTGTCAATATTTCTACTGTCAACTTAAATTTCTCTCAGTACATGTATTTAATCCCTCAGCAGAATAAAAATCAGTATTCAGAACTGTTCCAATTTTAGCTTGTCCACTGGGAAAATGGAATAGTTAAGATGCTTATAAAACCACCATTATGACAAACATTTGGTGTATTTAATTTTTAAATACTCATTAATTTGACAGCAAAATCAAAGGACCCAAGACTGTCAAAACCAATTCATCTTAAACATTATTACTAAAAACTTAACTTATAGCTGTATATAATAAAATTACACTATTTAGTTTTCTATAATTGTTTAATGACTATTATTCTTTAGCCTAGGTAAAGTATATTCCTCCTTGAGGGGGAAAAGAAAAAAACACAGTAAAAATTTTAATCTGAACTTTTAATGATTATTTGCATAATCTACTAATTGAATACAACAGCAACCCCTATATCAAACACACCAGAAGGTAGGGCTTCACTGAATGAAGAATGGCATGCCTAAATCCACGTATTCATAGAATTGTCCCAAATGGAATGTTTTGAATTCTGAACTAAAGAATTATGAGAAAGATATTTTATTCATATTTTTATTCTAGAAATAGTTATTAGAGAGACAAAGATTAAAAATGATTAATATTATTAACATGGCTTCACAAAGAATTGAGCCAGAATGAAGAGAAAGAAATCAAAACAGTAGTGTGGAGGCGGGAGGACAGACAGAAAAGTGGCAGTAGGGATCATTTTGAGGAGTAAAAATTTTTCTATAACTTCTTAAGAGTGTGGCTTACACATCTGCCAAAACAAACTGTATCTCTTCTATTTGACTATAAGTCAAAAAAAGCCTAAAAATAGATTTTTCTTCCCTAAAGATAAACATCTGCAAACATAACACTATTCTCTACGTGTCACCAGTAACAATTAAAATTGTTTAAGTAGACATAACAATGCAATATGTGAGTTTAGGAACAAACATTAAGCTGCACACATAAATGCTACTATAGTATATAACTATGACATAGTACTTAATGTTCAGTAAACACATGAGCCAAAAAAATTAACTGAAAATAATGGATATATATTCTTTTGCATTTCATTAAAAACACACACAAAAAAGAAGGGGGGGAAGATAGACAGAGAGAGAGAGACAGACAGAGAGAAGTGACACCACTATACAATTACCATAAAAGTTAGGATGAATGATAGAAAATACCAGAGGATATCTTTACAGAGGATGTGGTGCAACTAGAACTCTCCTAAAGTAATGGTGGGAATGTAAACTTACACGACCACTTTGAAAAACTGCTTGGTAACATCTAGTAAAGCTGAAATACGCATGCTTTGTGATCTAGCAATTCCATTTCCTAGTATACTATATAACCAACAAAAAAACACATATGTGCACCCAAAGACATGCATAAGAATTTTTATTGCTGTATAATTTATAATACTCTAAAATCAAAAACAAACCAAATGCCCATCAACAATAACATGAATAAATAATATGTAATAGATTTATACAATGGAATAAAATACAAACTATACAAAAAATGAGTAAACTACTAAACTATATGCAACAATATGGAAAAAAATTTCATAATGTTTAAGTATAATCTTTTTATCCTCTCTTTCCCACTGTTTCCTTTACCAAGAAGCCTCTTCCCCAAAAGGAAAGCATCCATAGCAGGGGATGGCCTATGATTAATCTCATATTCCATGTTTATGGGGGCATATGTTAGCATTTAGGGAAGAAAGCCCACTTGGTGATAGCATGAATACATGAGAAAAAGTCATGCCAATTCAACCTCATTTCCACTTCAGATAAGAAGGTAGTGAAGAGAAAGTACTAGATACAGTATACACATAATTTTCAGTATATACTGAAACTTTTGACAGTTTGCCCATGATATTTTTGACTACGACAAATCAGGGAAGGCTGGTAATACAATTATGGGTTTCTGAACAATCTAACTCAAAGGCTGGATCTTTAACAACAAGAGCAAAAAATAAATCAAAATAGCCATTATTTTAGAATGAAGGAGCTAGTGTGGGGGGAAATAAGAGAGGGAGAGGAAAAGAGGAAGAGAAAGAGACAAGGAGGCAGAGAGAATATGTGTGTGAACAGAGAAAGAAGGCATTTTATGGAAACATTTCAACTTCTTGAACAAACTTCTAAAAGAAGATCTTGAACAAAGATCTGACAAAGCAAATGCGTGTTGGAAGCTATGCTTCAATTTTTCTTTAGTGAAGAACAACTAGCAATGATAGCACCTCAATCCATAAAACCTTCCAATTTTAGTAAATGGTTTCATTATACATAAAATGGAATCCTAAAATTTTAGTTACTGTTGAGAATACATATCTGGCTTAAGACACGAAAATGTTTGCAATGCATAAAAGTAGCCTCCTGTATGTTTAACTCATCTTGTTATAGCTATTGTGAAGTTATGCAAGCCATATTGAAATCATATTAAGCTTTCAATAATTTATCATTTTGACTATTGGAACAGTTTGTTTTTTTGAAGCACATGGCTAAAAGATAGATTTAAAATTTTAAATCAAAAGGAACATACAAATTTTAAAGATAAAAGTATACTTTCTTGTCTTTATAATATTTAAAGTTGATTTTGAAATTTTTAGTACTTAGTAGAAAACTGGGAGCAAACCATTTAAGCTAATTACCTATGTGACTTTTTTTTTTTAGCCAGAATGATAAAATATCAAAGCATAGCCATCAAAATCCAAAAGTATATTATATATCATCAAATCTCAGGAGCCATTGATTCCAGCTATAGCATATTTTATTGTCATGCAAAGGTGAAAAAAAAAATACTACTGGGCTGTGTGCAATGGCTCACACCTGTAATCCCAGCACTATGGGAGGCCAAAGTGGGAAGATGACTGGACACCAGGAGTTTGACACCAGCCTGTGAAGCATAATGAGACCTAGCCACTAGAAAAAAAAAAAAAAAAAGATAACTGGACATGGTTGCACATGCCTGTAGTCCTAGCTCTACAAGGGGCTTAAGTGGGAGAATCATGTGAGCCCAGGAAGTCCAGGCTGCACTGAGCTGTGATCATGCCACTGCATTCCAGCCTGGGAGACAGCAAGACAACATCTCTCAGAACAAAACAAAGCAAACCCCACTACCGAATAAATTTTCAAAATGTATCTTACAATTGATAAAATATGGTACATTTAGTTGAAAAATGTTAGGAATCTATTAACTAAACTAAAGAACAACATACAACAATGCTTGCCTAGTATGTCTTCTGTGGTGAAAAAAGCCTGGAATTGTTACAAATCACATTCTAACACTATAGGTGTAGACCAGGCAATAGTTTGCAAGATTTCTAAAATACTCTCTTCCTTTCTAACATACATAATCATATACTCAGTCAATTAATAAGCTTATAAATTATATGAATGTTTCAATTTAAAGATTAAATCTAAAATGTCACATGGTTTACATTCCATAAATATACATATAATTAGTTATACTAACCTCTGATATACAAATATCGGTTCTGATTGATGGCAACAGTCCCCATAATGGAATCTGACAGTTTGCAGATTATACCTGCCTCTTGGGACTCTACAACAAATCAGTTAGTTCCAACTACTTCCTCTTCAACATTTTTTATGTTCCCTTCTCTCCCATCAATTCACATGCATGAATGCACACTCACACACATAAAGCATAAAGTCTCAAATATGGAGTTTTTTATGTCAAGGATGGTAGCTTTCAATTACAAAATAAAACTGTATTCGAGTACCAAAGTATTCTCACAGCATATTGTTTGTTGAAAAGTACAGATAAAGCTAAAACACAAAGGGTGTCACCTGAAATGTATCTCGGTATTTTCATGTGAGGAAAAAAATA